TCGTGAACGTTGACACCGATATGATTCGATCCAGTTGAGACTCTGATACCTGAAACCATGATGCTGGAGTTTGCGCAGCAGTTTCATGGTTCACACAATCGAAAGCTTTCGACAAGTCACAGCAAATTGCTGCATATAATCATTCTTCACATTCAGCTTAGATCAATGTTTTTTCAATAGATGAAAAATGGCATCCACTGTACTCTATTTGGATTGAAATCCAAACTGCTGATGATTTAGGATTTCGTGAGCGGATATCAAATTCATCAATTTATATTTCACCAACTTCTTGATGATTTTACCTAGGGTCGGAATGAGCGAGATATGGGTCGAAATTTTGATGAACCTGAGGTGTCACCTCCCTTGTGGAGGAGGATCACAACATTAACTCTCAGAAACTGTGGGTAGGTGCCTTTGGCAAAAGAGTCATCAATAAGTTGAACCAGTAACTCTAGAGCAAAAATTGGCATATTATCAAAAATTCTAATCGAGATATCGATACCACAAGAAGTTTCATTTCTGATATGTTTCATTGTGTCCACTAGCTATTTCGAATTAGTCTCATATAAAACGGATGTTTCAGGCAATATTAACGTGTTCCATGAATGATAAAGGATCTGGTGCTTTATCACAATAAAATTCATTTGGAGTACTGCAATTCATAGTGACGTTATTTGATGTAGAAGAAGTTTTGCCACGAAACTCATTTACTGTTATATATAATAAGAATTGATATTATTTAAGCTGCTGAAGCCCTGCCATCAGAAAGTGACTCACCCTGTATTTCTCTCAGAATGTTGTGTACAATTGAAATTTAGATGAAGGAAATGTTACATTGTAGATTGTTGATTGTAGATGGGTCGTATAGGCTAAGAGAACTCTCGATGACTGCGACCTAGAAGATTTATTGTGATTACTCCTATCTAGTTTTGATCCTTTAACCCTAGACTTCTGATGAATCCTACGATCTTCCTGACGGTTGACTTCTCCACTTCAGCAGGGGTGAGATAGACCTGTTCTAGGTGGTACAGCTTTTGGCGGACTAATACTTCACATGAGCAAAGTATGTGTTCCGCGGTTTCGGTCGCATTGTTACGAAAGCGGCAAGTGTCAGTCTCCGCCAGACCCATCTTTATGAGGTGGTACCTCAGAGGGCCGTGTCCTGTGAGAAAGCCTGTGATAAGCTTTCGCTCTGGCTGAGTAGCTCTTTGGCTTTGTTGCCATTTCCCAGTTGCATGAGTGTTTCAAAGCAGTCCCATGTAATCTTTGATGTGGAAACGAATAATTTTAGGGCTTTTAGTGCGGCTTGGCTGTCTGAGCAGATATATATGTTGGCACCCCTCAGACCTTTGCTCAGGCACCTTTGAGCGCAAAGGTTGATGGCATGCATTTCACCTTGGAAGATAGTGGGGGAGTGACCTAAGGCTTCGAATAGCCTACATCCGGGTCCATATACACTCGCGACTACCCCTTCTTCCATTTTCGAACCATCGGTGTACCAAACAAGGGAACCTCTGTCCAGCTGAGGCTCAGCGGAACCGTACCTAGGGCGGCTTTTTATAACCACTTCAGAAGTATGATCGACACGGAGCCTGGCTGGCATTATGTCCGATGGTTTGGTTGCAGATTCCAGTTGTACTCCTTGTAGAATGACCATGTGACCAGTGACATCACCTGGTCTGGCCAATTCAGTGGAGTTCAGTCTGTATGCACTGAGAGCTGCAGTCCTCTTGATAAAAATATGCAAGGGTAGTAGGTCAAGCATAGCTTTCATTGCTGCACTAGGGCACGTACGCATAGCCCCTGTGATCCCAAGACACGTGGATTTTTAGCAACTTAAGTTGTGCTGTTTTTTCTTTACTTTTGGTCCACCACACTAGAGAAGCGTATTTGACCATGGGTCTGACCACCGTGAGACCCCACGTTTTGGCCAAACATCTTTCGGCATATCCAGAGAGCTGAAATTGCCCTATTGACGATTTTGGTCAATTGTTGGTTCCACGTGAGATTCTTGTCTAGGATTACTCCTAAATGTAACATTCATATTTGTTTTCATCAGATCTATTACGCATAATGAACTAGTATATTTCTTAAAATGATCGAGTGCTGGTTACAAAAGTCTGAATTCAGACATCAAGCCTGAATTCAGACTATTATGTTCGATTTAGACTTTTTTGTCCTCATTCAGACTCACACTACACACCATATATATGCCGGGTGTAACAGGATTATGGTACACCAAACCATTTTGATGATCTTAAATTGGTGATGAATCAAAAAATTTCACATTTCTGATAGGATTCAATTTTTTTAGCTTTACACTTGACAATATTTGTACATCAGACCAGATCAGAAATGTCATGGTACACTCAAATGGCAGATCAAAAATGGAATTAAAGTGAATATTGAAGTTTGAAATGTCACTTATATGGTATTATTTGATTCAGAAGATGATGCAGAATTTGGAAATGCAATGATATACAGGGTGTTCCATTTGAAATTCGATAGTTATTGCCACTTTCGGTGGGACACCCTGTATAATCGGAATTATTATCCTGGTATGTGCCCTATGATACAATTGAAGTCTGCAAAATGTCAAAATCCTTACTCAACTGATAACTAAGGTATAGAAGACGGGAGGTGAGATGCAGGACCCTGTATGAACTAAACTCTGGCTTTTTATATAGGGTATAAATATATTCGAATGAGCATCACATTATTCATTAAAGACGTTTTGACGTACTGACCCGCAAATAATAATAATGAAAGTAATCATCGACCCCATGAAAACTAAATGACATATACAGGGTGTTTCAAAAAAACCTAACCCCCTTGCTAGGGCAGGTAGAACACTGCGAAATAAGTTGGGCTTGCTCAGTGAAAAAAATTCGTACCGGCATCCGATATCAAGATACAAGGTGTTGAACAATTAATTTTTTTACACATTTTTCACGATTATGTCGAAACTACTGGCAACATTGTAATGAAATTTTGTATGAATGTTTCTTGATATCTGACACATCACATGAATTTGTTTTTATATCTGCCTCTCATAGAGGGCGCTAGTTACAGGGTTCGTACCGAGTAGTTTAGAACATAACTTCTTTGAGGTTATATCTTTTGATCCAAATATGATATGAACTTGAAAAGCATTCAATTTTACACCAAAAAGGTCCTCTTGGTGAAACTCGATACTATGTTCTGTTTTCGGAATGTTTCGATTTGAAAATAATGGAGTAATAGCTGATGCTGGTATAAAATGAATTTTATTGAGTTCAATTACCTATTTATTCAGACTCAAAAACAATGAAATTATTCTTGTGTTCAAGTTATTGATGGAACAAAGAATCATAAGTCGAAAATTAAGAGATATTTGACTTGAAACATGAAATATTGAATCAGTTAGAGTAAGGGTTCAAAATGTACTAGGTTTCGAAGAAAAAACGATTCTATATTCTTTTCTTAAGAATGTATTATTCTTCTTAACAGTTGAGGATCAGCTGTTAGGTCATTTCAGTGATGTTCAATTATGTCTTACAACTCTTGACGTGAATTTACCTATGTAGCATAGACTTTCTGCTCAAGATACAATAAAATTGTATAATCCATGTTCTTAGCCAAATCTTTTCGATGTTATTCTTGTGATTCATTGTTAAATCAATAAGTTCAGCATCAGAAATGTATTGTTGTTTTCGGTTTTCAATAAATATGTGATATTTTTTTATAATGCTCACTCTAATACATAGCTCTATACCAGCAACAGTTATTACTTCATCATTTTCGAATCGAAATATTCCCGAAACGGAACACAGTATCGAGTTTTACCAAGAGTACTTTTTTGGTGTGGAATTAAATGATCTTCAAGTTCACATCAAATTTGGATTGAAAAATCTCACCTCAAAAAAGTTATGTTCAAAACTACTCGGTACGAACCGTGCAATTAGCGACCTCTATAAGAATCAGATATAAAAACAAATGCATGCGATGTGTCAGATTCCATGAAACATCCATGCAAAATTTCACTACAATGTTGCCAGTAATCTCGACATAATCTTGAAAAATGTGTAAAAAAATCATTTTTTCAACACCTTGTATCTTGATATCGGATGCCGATACGAATTTTTTTTACTGAGTAAACCCAACTTATTTTGCAGTGATCTATCTACCCTAGTGAGGAGGTCAGGTTTTTTTGAAACACCCTGTAGAAGGTACTCACTGAAATCAGTGAAAGTCTGAATTCAGAGAAAAAAGTCTGAATTCAAAGAGAAAACTTCGAATTCAGAGAAGAAAGTTCGAATCCAGAGAAAAAAGTCTGAATTCAGAGAAAACAGTCTGAATTCAGAGAAAAAAGTCTGAATTCAGAGAAAACAGTCTGAATTCAGAGAAAAAAGTCTGAATTCAGAGAAAAATGTCTGGATTCAGACTCTAAATTCTGAATTGAGAAATAAAATGAAATACACACAACAGTGGCCTTTCTACGGTTTCGTGAGTAGTAGAGGATGATATCCGAACAGTTAAAGACGTTCAATTCGCTAAATAGTCGTTTATGGTGCAGAGTTACTGTCGCTTCGAATCCGGCGTGGCTGAGAATTTTTGTGCGATTCTTTGTTGTTTTCCTGGCGGAATCTCGGTGGTTCGGAATCCACTATGAACTGTTTTTCTCGCTCTTCCTAACCCCGTACAAGTTTTGGCTTCTGGGAAAGTTGGTTCTTGACTTCGAGGCAGCGATTTACAAATATTTTCAACCTATGTTACTTTTTATCCATCTTGCATATAAGATTCAACAATCTGCATGTGAACAAAGATGTTATTTATGACTCTCCTGATATATGCGATGTTACTCTAGAAACGATCAACAATTATCAGATATAAAGAGAACATTCCAGTGAGGCGGAAATTTGACGATACAAATAAGATACATTAAATGTACCAATAATCAATATGTTTTGTTATCTGATTTGGTAGGTGAAAATGATTCAAGAAATGTACTGATTGATTTTCAATTCTATATTTTTGGAGTACATAAATTATTCTTCACTTGCCTGAAAAACTTCATACAATATACTCAACATAGATCAAAATCAGAAAAAATTAGTTTTCATTAATCTAGATATCAAATGATATTTGAATTGTCTGAAAAACAGAGTACAATTATTACATAGAAGAATTCTAAATCTGAAAGAATCACTTCCTAGATAGAGGGATATTTCTTATGAAGCTGGATATCAAATCGAGCATCCATTCCGGTTGATCAGATGGTGCTGTATGTCCAGCATTCCTTACTAGAACTTCTGTCAGATTTCCGGCCTGTTTAACATAACCAGCCAGATCTCCTGCAGAATACCACTTATTTCTAATAGCTGTCTTGTATTCTTTAGCCCCACTGAAATCCAATTTCTGTAGGTAATTCAGAGTCAATGGATACGCAACTATAATATCCAATTGACCGTTATAGATCAAAACTCGATAGTTTTCCAGCAGTTCTGATATCCAGGGTGCTACAGATTTCATGACGTCTTCCACAAGATGTTTTTCTACGTCTTCCCCACTGTGGAAAGTTTGATTTCCTACATGTAGAGCTCTTCGTACATCCACCCTCTGCAAAAACTCTTCTAAATAGGAGTCAGTGCTCTCTGCATGTAAGTAGTTGAAATAGTTATCGAATCCTGTAGCATTCTTGAAAATTGTTGTTTCATTAGTTAGATCACCATTTAGTAGAATATCGAATATTTCAAATGCCTTGAAGAACTGGTTGGTCCGTATGTATTCTTTTGCTGGAAAAACATGAATAATCAATACCCGATGTACAATTGAACATTCGTCTTCAGAAAACATGTCCCAGATGGATGGTGCAATCGCTCTTATTGCAGCGGTGATTCAGAGCGCTTACACCGCCCAACCGCGACATGTTTTCTGAAGACGAGTGTACATACATTACATGAAAATATTGTGGAAATAATTTGGAGTTAGTATAAAGTCCGAAGGTCTATATCATGGATATACAGACTAGTTACATAATTGATTAATGAACTTCTTGATTCCTGATGGGATGGTCAGTATTCAATTCCGTATTCAGATAGAGATTTTTGATATGAAATCAACGTACCAAGATTGATAACGGTTTGTTATACCATCAGAACGATATGGAAAAAATTCATTCCATTTGCCCAATGGAACAATGAGATTTCTCCGAAAAATCATATGAAGAATATAAAGACCTCCGTCCTATTAGTATATTGTACACCTTGTCATAAGCATTTGAGAAATTTTTGTCTGAGCAAATGCGTAACCATATCGAAAATTTCGATATTGCACCCCTGAATCAATCTGGATTCCGGCCTAGCCACAGTTGTTGTAGTGCACTGTTAACAGTAACGGACGACATATACATATACAAATCCCTCGATCTTAAATAACCTACCGTTCTTTTTCTCCTAGATTACTCTATGGCATTTGATACGATAGACCATAAACTACTGACTGCAATCCTAGGCTATGTTGGGTTCTCTAATGATGTCAGAAAGTTGCTCAAGTGCTACCTTATGTGTTGGTCGCAATCGGTCAGATTGAACAACTTATCCTATCCATCACTAATATTGAGAAATGGAGTTCCCCAGGGGTCTATTCTCGGACCGTTGCTCTTAATAATTTACACTCACGAGTTTTCCGAATGTCTGAAATATTGCAATCACTCCTATGCGAACGACACATAAATTTACTTCTCTTTCAAAGGAGAAAACATCATCGAAGCTTGTAATTTCATTAACGAAGATCTCTGTTCGCTAATTGCACTCTCAAATAGGTAAGTTTTGCCTAAGCAATAACCCCTTGAAATCGAAGGTACTGCTCTTCGGAAGTGCAGCTTCGCGAAATAGATGCTTGGAGCTAGTCAATATTGTGGTTGATAAAATACAGATTTATGTGAGTGACAGTGCGAACAATTTAGGTATTGTTCTCGATAGCTCGCTCAAGTTCAAATCTCATGTAAGTGAAATTGTTCGTAGCGGGTTGGGCAATCTGAAAAACCTTTATGCTAATCGGTCCATTCTGAGCAGAAAACTAAGAATTATCCTGTGTGAACCTCTGGTGCTGTCTCATCTCAACTATGCAGATGTTGTTTATGGCCCTCCCCTCACTAGTACTGATAGCTTCCGTATTCAGAAATTGCAAAATTCATGCGTCCAATTCATATGTGGCTTGAGCAGACGAGATCATGTTTCGGATAATCTAAGGGATATCGGATGGCTCAGCATGAAGGATAAAAGGCTTCTACATCCCTCTCTATTTCTTAAGAAAATAATAATCTCACACGAACCAAAATACCTTCACAGAAAAATAAAATTTAGGACAGATATTCATAATCTGAATCTTCGACATAAAGCTTCGTTAACACTACCTATCCATAAAACTGTGCAGTTCAGATCTTCTTTCTCTTTTCAAATCTCCCAGATTCTCAATAAGATCCCATTCTAATTCAATAGCTGTAGCCTCCCAAACTTCAAGAAACAAACGAAAAAGTATTTGTTTGAAAACCCCAACTTTAATTTGAAAAAATTGAATTTGTATAAAGGTAAAATGTACATAAATATTTAGAATAGGAAGGAGCTCGTTCATATCAATGGATGAACTCCTTATTACGGTTGAGTGGAAGAGCAATTTGCGATCTGATCGTGAAATTGAACTCTGCCGTTTGAGAAACATATATGTATAATAATACCTGTTGTACATTTATGCTGACTCAATAAAATCATTTATTATTATTATTATCATTATTATTATTGTTATTTTATTTTCATAATCACACCCAATTAGTAGATGGAAGAATTTTCTGCCAAAGATCCCAAAAAACTACCTGTGCCACTCTTCGGTCTCAGCCAAATACACGGCACCAATATCGTATAATTTGGATTGAACTTCCTTCAGGTACGTCGTTCAGTCCTCAATTATTATTCTTCAGTTGGTCACATCCGAATAGATCACCCTGTATATGTTCAGATGTGAAATTGGCGATCTGGTGGTTAATGTAGTATATTACACACCGAGGAGGAAAGTGATTCATTCCTGTCGTGAGATTAGATAGTGAAGCAAGACGCAAAGCGTCGAGGTTAGCTATAATCTCGAGACAGGAATGAAACTTCCTACCGAGGTTTGTATACTTTTCATTCACATCCATCATATTTCGATCAAAATTGATGAATCTCTGTTTCGTTCTGAACATACCTATAATATTACCTACGTGAGGGCAAGAAATGAGGGCGGGTAGTAGTGAGGGTGGGAAGTGAGGGCGGGAAGTAGAGATGTGTAATGTGACACTTCCCAACCTTCAATGACGTTTGTAATGACAACATCAAATATATATGATTATAAATAAAAATATTCACAATCCACTATTCAATCTATAATAATCCCATTCATCAAATAACGAACATATAATAATAATGACAATAATGCATTTGAAATAATACAATGAGTAATATTGAATGCCGTGATATGACAAAATAATAATCTGTGTAAATATAGGACAATCATATGAATTTAACCCATAAACTATTTCGTCATTGTTCTAATGATTTTATTATAGCGAATACCTATTGGGTAACTACAGGTCTATTATAAATAAATCTTTTGTTCCTGTCACAGAAAGAAATAGTGTAATATATCAAAATAGTTTATTATACACGGGCAAACTATTGGATTTTACCACACGGTTTTTTCTCTCCCTCCACTACGCGTCGGGAAATAACACAACCTAGAGCAAAAATCTACTACTTTTTCCCTTGTTTATCAAACTATTTCATTCCCTTTGGAATGGTTATGATGTATGTTTGCAAAATGCGATTTTCCCGAGAACGGTAGAAGATGAAGATAAAGATGAAATCAACCATGTTTGTGTGTGTGTCGTTGACATATCGAGAGAAGCATTAGTATGGGTTAGTTCAGTTGCTCGAATATCATGTATACCATAGCAACCGTTCGAAAGTTATACACGTAAAATATTGTTTTTCAAACTTTCGAAGTCAATTACTCCGTTATATGAAGTACCTACGAACATTATTTTGGTTCTCTCTTTCAGGCATCATTTATGGCAGGACCTTTCCGGACATCCTGTATAAGATTTTCTAGTGATCTTTTCCCATTGTTGATCAAACAGTTCTATTTTGACAGCACATTGGTTGCTTACATTTATCGTTTCTTGTTCCACGTCCTCTTGTTTTCCTCGAGATAACGTTCTTTGAAGATGAGGGTACTGCTTTCAGCTCTTCTACCGAGGTCTCGCGTTCTTCGAAGTTTTGCACTTCTCGAAAAAATCTGCTCCGAACAAAAACTCCTCCGGATTTTGGGCCGCTGCTACTTTCTGAATTTTGAGATTGAAATGACGGTACAAGAGGAACTTTCTGTGGTTTGTGATGGAATGTAGTCCATGAAACAGTAGCATTCCCGCTTGCACTATTCTAGGCAAGCTTTGGTACGGGTCTTCGGCCTTGTTTTGTTTGGATGGAGCTTGTCGAGGCTGAACTCAATGCTGTCAGGCTTTTGCTTAAATTCAATTGGATGCCTAGCAAGAAGACATCTTTCTTGAAACCCGCAGGGGCCAACATTGCCGAGACCTCTTCATTTAGAGATGGTTCACCTCCCCCCCACCCCTCTGCCCCTAATGTTTTGGATTTTTGAGGAACCCGCTAGAGTTCAAGAAGTTCAGCTTTATCTTTCTTCTCCAGACCCTTTGTTTAATAATTCTCCCACCGAGTCTCTGTTCGAGATCGAGGCAAAGCATTTTCTCTTCAGTAGAAAGTTGAGGTAGAGGTCTGGTACCTCTGGAGTGGAAGACTTTCCTCGTTCTTCCGAGGATGAATAACTCCGTTTTCTAGAACAACTGCTGTCGCCGTCTAAGTCAGAAACTATTCACGGAAGAAAAGGTTCACCCTAATGAGAACACGTATCATGTTCCTCAGAATCATGAAAATTCCTCAAAGCTTATTTATATTACACAATAGAGTATGATGCATGTATATGATGTTGTTGTTGTATCTGAATACCATTACATAATGTAAACATGCACTTTCTCACTACTGTATTTGGCAGGATATTATTAGCAATTTTTGGTTGGAATTATATTTTCTGTTCGTACCATGTCTATTACTCTCAGTTTAGATCAATTCTACATCATCCTGAGCACTCTGTCTTCATCACAGGTGTGCATGGATCTGATAGTAACTACTTTTTTTAATCGGATGAATGTTTCTGTCGTTTACTTACTTGAAATTTCGTCTAATCGTTTTTCTGGCTTCCGCATTTTCCTTCTGATTTCCTTATACTCATTCACTCTTCTTCTGTGATGTTTCTGATTAGGGATCTTCGGAATGTCGAATTCACTACATTATTGTTTCACTGATTATTAAATTCACCCCACACTTTCAAGCACAACAAGTATAATGACTGATCAAGGTATTCGGAGACGACAACAGGCAGAAAAACGCAAGAACGGAAAAAGTTTTCGTTCAACTTGTACTAGAAAGTGATAAAAAGTACTACCTACTACAAGGTATAACCTAACCTAACCTGACCAATTGGAGTATATGTAATAAAATAGGTACTGAAATTGTACTCGATTTGAAATGACTGATTATTTCCAGGAAAACTGCACATATGGCGACAATGGTTATATCATTTGAAAGAAATAAGGAATACAGAGAAACAATATGAAAAAATAGCATCATATTCCATGAATTAAATACGCTGAATTTCAACCGAATTTGTGTAAATGGATGTATTTCGTTTCAGATCGTTGACATTCTTGTTCTTGACGAATCAAATGAATATATCAATATCTTATCTATTGAGGAATCTTTCTGATTTTTAGCCTTGGAAGTGGATAACATTGTTAGATAAAATAATATACTGACAGGGTAACCTGGAATCGAGATAAACAATTCAACGGTATGATTTGATGGAAAGAAAATATCAAGAAAAATAAATGTAAAACGTGATCCGACAAAGTAATCCTGGTGGCGCTCAAAGTACGCTTTGCTAGGCCCACCAAGTGTAATGTGTGTGAATGCCAATATTCATTTGGAATTTTCGAATTTATTTTTTCTCATACCCATTTATTGAGGCATGTTGATCAAAACAAATCAGATCTTTAGAGCCACAACTTCTTCAACTAACAATAGACCATAGAAGCTAGAACCAGAAACAACCAGGAGAGAACTGGTATATCATGTCGTATGACATCTTGCTGCTAGTAATAAGTCTTTTTTTCCTCATTCAACTACAGCAAGTGATCAAAGCCATGATTTTGCAATGAGTGGTATAATATTTATTATTCCTTATAAGAACAACAAAATTGATTTTTGTAATAAAGTCGAACATACTTATATCACCCCCTTAGTAAGTAGTAGGTATATTTCCAACGTTTGTCATAAACATCGACAGTGACACCCATATTTGAACTAGGTTAAAAGTAGGATGCATCAAAAAAATGCACACTTCACATTATCTACTCTCAGAGAATAGGCCTTTCCAGTATCGTCATTTTTTACCCTTTCTCGCGATAATGTTACGAAGGAAAGTCAAAAACGTTATTCTGGCCACATATTTATCGACGAAATCGAACAAGAAATGAATTATTCAAGATCGAGAATGCTATTTCAATACTTTTGAATTCAAACGCTACTGAGCTGTGTATGTCAGTATCTCCTTGCGATTTGATTTGGTTGGAGTTTGTGACAGCTGGGAAGCACGCCGCTGTTGCCAGGTCTCTATAAAATCCTTGAATTGATCTCATGTGCAAGATGTGTAAGAAATGTTTGCATGTATGTAGATAGTAGGTGGTTATTCATTGCTGATCACATTCAATTCACTCTGAACTCCAAAATGATTTATTAGTTTCGAGATAAGCTAGGATAGAATGTGTCGTATTCAATAAAAAAGCGTACAATTATTAAAAAGAGAGGATTTCGGGATCCTAGTTCTAGTTGTGTAAAACTGGCTCAGCCAATGCTTTGTGTTTTCGAGAACCTATGACAACTTCATTGTCAACATTTGATGAACAATCATTCCTGATAGCCCGTTTTATGCAGAATTGGATGATGTTAATTTCTTTCTGTAATATACTTTTACGCTTTTTTTCGAGTGTGACTATATGCATCTAACAGTAGGACGCAATTTATATGGTTTGTTTTGAGTTATGATGTTATGATTTCGAATTGTTTTGATCATTGAATTGAACAGTGTTTCTACATCTCCAGTACATTCTAGGCGGGTAAGGGTTAACATTTTCAATGTCACCAGATTTTGCCAGATTTTGCCTGATAGTCCTGAAGGATGTGGCATGTTTTGTGGACAATATTTGAAGGAAATGATGTAACCTATTCGAACAAATAGAAAAACTGCGGTTATGGAAAGAATTGAGGAGACTTGCGATTTTTACTCTCAATGAGAAACTCAACGACCCGTTGCACAATTACAGAGATATCGTAAAATGCGATCTGGTGAACAGTAAATATGTCAGCCCTCATCGCATTACATCTCGAGTTGTGTAATATTCTTTTTTGTCGACTCAACTCACTTCCGCTTTGAATTAGTATTTTATATAGGCCTCAGAAGAAAAATAAGTGTCAAAAAATGTGTCTTGGAGTTTGGTGAATAACACGAGATGAAGATGTTGAATTTTGACAAATAACAGTCAAATTTAAATAAATTTGAATTCTCATACTTTCTTGAATTACCTTGATCTTCCATCTCTCTGATAACTTCTCTGGTATTCAGATCTACTAAGCCAATTTGGTACAAATATTCAGCATATTTCAGTTGGTTTTCTGGGTCACTGAGTCCATTTCCTATGGCCAATCCTTGGAGGTTGATTTTCAAGTCTGCATGACGATTTTTTTGAAGAATCGTGTATGAGATAGCTGGAACGTATTTCCCTGCGTATGATTCTCCAGTCACGAAAAAATCATTTTTTTGTAATTCGGGAAACAGCTTGAAGAACTGCGTAAGCGCTTCATACAAGTCTTCTCCAACTTTTGTCTCATTCTGAGCATATCCGCCTTCTGTGAAACTGAATCCAGTGCCTGCAGGATTGTCGATAAAAATTAGAGAATGATCGCGTGACCATCTATATTCTCTGATTTCAATTTCAGTAGGACTCTTGAGTATGAAAGGTCCATTTTCAGAGAACAACGCGAAGAGAGATGTTGCTCCAGGTCCTCCTTGCAACCACAGAACTACTGGCGCATCCTGGAAGTTTATTTCTGCTGGAAAGTACCAAAAGAATAGGTTCGAGTTGTACATTTTATCAACAGTGAGATATCCAGAGTAACTCGAAACATTCTTGAAATCTCCTAGGGTGATTTCTGCTGCTCTCTGACCTTCTGCTATACGATTCTGTTCTATGAATGGAGTGAGAAACAGTGGTTCACCAACATCTCCAGTTACCTCTTTCGAGTTGATTTTAGGATAAAAATTAGGAAATGATGGTTCTGCTAAATGCAAACTGATCACCAACACAAAAATACCAGCAAACGACTTCATTCTCCTAATTCAATCAGTTGTACTAACCACCAAATGAACGATAAACTGAATGAAAAAATATATTATATCACTTCGATTTCTTCAGATAAAAATCTATATCAGTGTGAAGGCATGGCACCACTTATGTTATCTCTCTCGATACTTTGAGAAGTAATCAGTTCCATTCAATGTTCGATGATTTGCACTAATATCTATACGGAGTGGTCCAGTTTTGTGTATAGGAACATTAATTCCACGGGATGGTGAGAGCACGTAGGATTCATGAATAAAACTCGATCATTCTGAAATGCAGTTCAACTCAAAAAGAAGGTAATGAAGTTCGATTGAAAAAGAGATTATCATTTCACATCTTACCTAAGTGCGTACAGAAGTAATTCTATGCAGATTCAGCACACTGTCTTCTCATGGGAATCCGTGTCAATAGTTAGTAGTTTTATTCCGAAAATAGATCCAAAAATATGTAGGCGTTGTTTATGGGTCATTCTTCAAGACGGGAACAAATTAACAAGGATATTCAACAGAAATGAAAAATGTATTAAAATCGGTGGATCTTCATCTAGTTGATGTATTTGAACGAAATATTTCTCCAACTGAACTGGCCGAGAGTTTGATAATGTGTTCATCGATTTATGCTAAAAGAACTAATTATCCTTCCCATGGAATTGGCGATATGAAAATATCAACAAAAACACGAAATTTCTAAGAAATATTGACATGGATAGATTCTGTTATCAACTAAAAAAGAATAACAATCTCATTAAAGTTTTGTTTTGATCATCTGAATATTAAATATTAGTACCTTCATGAAATGAATAAAGACAAAGATTTCACAGAAAATGTGCTATCAAAAACTATAAAGGAAAAACGGTAGAGTGGAAATCGAAAATTCTGTGTTAGGAAATTCCTGGAAATGGTCATCTAAAGAAATGGACTTAATGTCCAAGGAGTTGGTGTCCATGGATTCGGTATTCTATAGGAGATATTCAAATATCCTCACTACTTCAAAACCCTATCTCAAATTATTCCTCATGAGTGCAAGACATTATTAGTTATACAGGGTATGTCAGGACGAGCTTCCACTATGTCTATATCGAGAATCAGTCGGGAGAAATCCGTGGAAATATGCATGCTTAATCTTTAAATACGTTCTTTTCATTCAAAGTATTTTCAAAAATGCAGTGTTGACGCTTCTATCAAGAAGTATCAACAACTTTGCTATTTCAATTTTAGAATACTGTGTATTTCATTGCATTTTCAGATTCTCCCTGAAGAGCTGATTTCATCGATACATCACACTTGAGGTCTTTCGGAAATGATTACAAAGATATAGGGTGTTGAAAATCGAGATTTTTCAACTTAAGGATTTGTTGGTGTCCTAACTATTCATTATCGGCCAAAACGGCTAACATGTCCCTATCTCAACTTTTGATTTTCTGTCTACTGATGATTAATCGGAACAGATTCAGGGTGATCAGAATTCTGAATCTTGAACCACCCTGTATCTGTTCCTACTAAATATCAGTGAATAGTGAATCAAAAGTTGAGATTAGGACATGTGAGTCGTTTTCACCGATAATCAATAGTTTCGACACAAAAAAATCATGAAGTTGAAAACTGTCGATTTTGAACACCATATACAGGGTGTCCCTAGACCAGTGGGACAGTTAAATATCTTCCGCACCAATAGGAATTTTCAAAATATTATAATTCCACATCATATCGCATCATGAGTGCTATCTCCAGGAATGACTATATTTTATACGAGGGGCGTAAGGAAGGCTCACAAAATCGAACATCAATTTTTTCAAATGGAACACCCTGTATTTCATTGCATTTTCATATTCTCCTTGAAGAGCTGAATTCAATGACCTAGCACACTTGGGATCTAGCGGGAATGATTTCCGAGATATAGGGTGTGGAAAATCGAGATTTTTCAATTTTAGGAATTTTTTGTGTCAAAACTATTCATTATTGGTCAAAATGGCTCACATGTCCATATCTTAACTTTTGATTTACTATTCACTCGTATTTAAATTGAACAAATACAGGGTGGTGTAGAATTCTCAGTTTCAGTCGGAATTCCACACCACCCTGTATTTGTTTCAATTAAATACGAGTAAATGGTAAATCAAAAGTTGAGATATGGACATGTAAGCCGTTTTGACCAATAATGAATAGTTTTGACACAAAAAATTCCCAAAAATGAAAAATCTCGATTTTCCACACCCTATATCTCGGAAATCATTCCCGCTAGAGCCCAAGTATGCTAGGTCGTTGAATTCAGCTCTTCAAGTAGATTTTGAAAATGCAATAAAATACAGGGTGTTCCATTTGAAAAAAATGATGTTCGATTTTGTGAGCCTTTCTTGTGCCCCTCGTAGAAAATATAGTCATTCCTGAAGTTAGTACTCATAATGCGATATGATGTGGAATTATAATATTTCGAAAATTCCTATTGGTTCAGGAGATATCCAACTGTCCCACTGGTCTAGGGACACCCATCTGTAATATTTTTCGATAGACCCCAAGTATGATGCATTCATGAAATTAGCTCTTCAGGAAGAATCTAAAAATGCGACAAAATACAGGGTGTTCCATTTGAAATATCAATGTTGCTACTACTTTCTAGTAGAAGCGGCAACACTGCATTGTCGAAAATATTTTAAATAAAGAGAGGGTATTCTAAAATATGAACATGCAGATTTTCATGTATTTATTCCGACTGATTCTCCATATAAAGATAGTGTAAGCTTGTCGTGACATACCCTGTATATTGTAAGCATATTCACATGATATAAATGGATTCAGTTTATACGTCATCAGCGACATAAAGTTGATTGTTCATGAAAATACTCACCTTGTTTGTCAACTTTGTCTCTAGAATCCCAAATAACTTGCCTGAATATATCTTCTTTTCCTGACAATCTTCAACTAACTGATCTTGCTTGAAATTATGAATCCTTGAAACATCAAGGTTTGTACAATTGAGTTTCATTTGTAGAGGAATGTTTCCTCGATCTGAAAAACGTGGTGAGGGAAGTGGTATTTCGATCCATGCAACCTTATCCTCGAAATGCCATGCATGATAGAAACCTTGTGATCCTTTGTTCTTCCTGCTGTTTTCTTCTATTACAGTTCCAATTTTGCTGGTAGGCTTTAGGATCAATATGAAATGAAAAAAGTTTGACTGGCTGTATGGACCATGTCCGAATGCCAAAAAAAAAAGAAAAAAAAACCTTATCCTCCACAAATAAATCACCAACCTTATAAAATATTAGTTTTAACAAAAAAAACAGGTGAAAATGGAGTTTAGTTTCAAAATGGTGTCACATATCAATGATATATTCAGAAATATTCATGTAAAAAATCTTTTGGAAAATGATTGTAACAGATACGAAATTCATTCTCGTATATCTCTGTACAATCCTCATATTTGACTGTAATATACTGTTTGGTATTTCTTGCAATTGCAGCATACTTAAAGGACGGTTGAATTGTATGGAAAAGGTTGGTTTTAGGATCTTTTGTGGGGACTGAGTAAATATGATAAAAGTCATAGTCTGAGTCTTCTACGATTGGTATATGAAATATAAAAACTATTCGTTCATTCGTTTGGAATGCTTCCAGCTTCATCAATGAAATTATTTCTGAAATATGCTTGTGGATTGGGCTGAAAGGCAGATTTTCATGAGTTGAAGATAATGGAATTTTTATCAATTGTTCGATCAATAAAAAATTTGGATCGATTACTGATGGATGTATTTATTATCTTTATCCTAGCAAAAGTGATGCTATTTATGATATCATTGATTTGATCCAACATAATGGAATTTGACTGCATTATTTGTTCGAAGTTCGAAATAGTATATCGTTCCTCTGTTTTTCGTCATTTCTTGTTGAATTAGTTTCAAATCTTGCCCTGCAACAAGAGATGCTAATTTCAATCTGTCAAAATTGCCAATTGTGGTTTTATTATTATATCTAGCTCAATTTCCGCTGTATTCGTATTTGTGATTCGTATTATTTTAAATGGACCATTTCTTTTGTTTCGCATTTTATTTCCGTATTGAGATTCGTCAATACAGTGTGTCCATTTTGTGCGTAATTCTTCGATATCTCGGAATCCATTATCACTAGAGAATAACTTTTGGAAGCAAATTTCTTCCGCAATTAAAGGTTCCATTTCAAAAATATTTTCAACAATACTGGGTGTTTTATAAAAGTATATTTTTTTCAAAATTCATTCCGCTAAGATTTAGCTCTACATCGCTGTGAAAAGAATTGAATTTGGTTGCGGCGCTGCCAAGTTATAATTGATAAACCCATTTTTACTACTATTGAAGGGTCATGTTAAATTGGGTGTGATATATGTATACATTTATTGAAATTTTGAGAAGATACTTGGCATACAGTACTAACAATAGTAGCAAGGTCTCAAGTACACCAATCCAGTAATATTGCGAGATTATCCTTTACAGGAAGCTAAAATTTACACTCTGAATATTGTAAGATTCAGACGACGTTCACTGGAATTTTTCAAATGGAACACCATGTATTTTCCATCACAGATTCATTCCGACATCATTCGCCTTTTCATCGCTGAAAAAAAAATTGAAATCGGTTGCGGGGTTTTCAAGTCATGAGTAATTTCCTTATGTTAATCACTATTTCAGGGCAACTTATGAGGCATGGTTCCTTTATTTGATTTGATTGTGGGAATATTGCTTGCCACATGACATTCGAGTTTCTACATAGATCATTCAGGTATCTTTGCGATATAAGCATTGTCAAAATTCTAAATATTCCGTAATCTTGTTACTCATGATTCAAATAATATGTGCCTATGTGAAACAAACATGCCAAAAGCAAAACGCCTGCCTAAAACAACATCTACAATACAAACTGTGACATATGCCAATGATAACCGTGATAACCCCCTCCCTAGGAGAGACGAACTGGCAGCACTGACGAACTAGCGTCTAGCGCAAGGAGCTATTCCTATAAACACCGTAGTGGGAGAACCGCGCCAAGCGAGACGCGGACGCGGACAAACATCACCTATGCCTTCACCATAGACCTTCACCTATCGACATGCCCGACGAACGTTGGAGCGAAGGAGCGAAACAATAATGTGAAAATAATATTAGAAATATGAATGCAGGGTGAATCGGGTATATAGGTGCTTATTGTAACACGTTCATTCGTTAGGTAGGTATGTTCGGATAGTTTTCACAAGATCTAGCAGACTATCTCTGTAGATAGGTAGGTAGGTATCAAAATCAAATGAATTAACATTATATTCCATGTACAGGGTGATTCACCATATATGTCCCCCCCTCTAGGTCAGTTATTTTTGAACCGATCGCAAAATTTGAAGAATCATTTGATTAAGTTTTTTTCCGCTTTATCAGAAAATACAGGGTGCTCGGAACAAACGATCGACAGGGTACAAGTTGATTTTTTTAGAAGAAACACCCTGTATTTTATTGCATTCTTAGATTATCCCTGAATAGCTGATTTCATCAATATATCACACTTGGGGGTCTAGCGGGAATGATTACAGAGATATAGGGTGTTCAAAAATCGAGATTTTTCAA